GCATGGGCTGAAAGATATTTACATGCTTATACAAGTGCTGGCAATTACAAATATTTCCCTCACCTTCCCAGTGGCCAATACAAAGTTTTCACATATTTAGAAGTTCCAAGACAAGCATAACCATTCTGTCAACATGAATTTGTCAATAATGATTCACTCCACCTGCTCAATTCATGCAGTCACGGACCCAAATGTTGGACAACAGCAAGAAAAGACTTGTCCATTCTGTAAACGCACACTTCTCAACTGCTGGATGTGCACTTGAGGCGACAAGTAATGACCAGATCTCTACAGCCTAAAAATTATCTGTAGTTAGGTAAATGTCAAAGACTAAACATCTGCAAAACAGAATGCTCTACGGGCAGCAATGAAACACAAGCCATCTCCTAACTTTCAAGAGTAGGGCACTGGAGTATTTTTAGGAGTCAGCAGTACTGAGCTTCTATGGAGCCTTAAGACGTCACTGCCACATTAATCAGAATTTCTTTGCCCACTTTATTAGTTTAATATACATAGTGTAGACTAAGTTATTCTTAAATGCCTGTTACAGATTCAGTAGGTAAAAGAATCATTCCTATTAAATGTCAAGGTAGAACCGAGTACATCAAAAGTTTTAGTGAATCCCTGTTGGCAAAGTTACTTTCACAGATTAGCATAGCTATAGTTTGCAATTCACCCACAAAGCATTAATCCTTTTTCTATTCTTTCCCCTCCCACCCATAAAAAGCTGTTCTTTGAGCAGGTATGTATATCATAGAAAAATTTAACAAAAGTAAATACTGTTAGGTTATAGAGTTCATGCAAATTAAAAGGAGACACACCCCACCCCCCAAAAAAAACCCCCAACATTTGTGATATTACTTTCATGCAAATACTCAGAAAACCCAAGGGCATACAATGGATTATGTTTACTTCAAGGCTGCTCTCCAGGCTCTGTGAACAGAAACTGAAGCAATTTTGGGTATCACCAGCTTTCAACAGTGCCATCAACATTGCTAACACTTTTTCAGATTGTATCCCTGAAGAGGGATAAGAAATATCCCCCATAAGAAATGAGACCCAGAAAACATAACTACCTGACAGAGGCCAAAGCTTCTCTGGCTCAGGTAATGCCAGACTACTGATGAAGTCTGAAAGGCTCAGACAGGCACGGTGAGGTTCTGTTGTGATGTACATTAGGACCACCTCTCACAGAAATAGTCTAGGAAAGGCTTAAAGCTTTCCAAAACTTGTCAAGAGACCAAAAGACTCTGAAGCCCAGATAAAACCAAAACCCACCTTGAAAGAAAGGTGACAGGGTTGTGCTAACAACCCAAACCAAAGATACCCACCCAACCCTCCAACACTCCTCATTTCCTCAAACCAGTATTACGTGTCAGCAAGCTGTTTTGAATCTGCCAGAAGTAGGACTGCATTATTTATTTCTTTTATATATTTCTATATTATGCAATATATTTTATTTATAACATGGATTGTAGAACATTTAAATATCATTAAAAAGACCACTTGAGACTTTCTACACAATCTTATGCTGTTTCTATTTGCATTTTCTTAATAGAAGTTACAAAAATAATCTGGTTACAAGACTCCTTTTAATACTCTCTTATTTCATTGACAATATATGTTGATTAAACTTGCAACATCAAGTCCTTTATTCTGAACAAAGGTATTTACTCTTAGAACTGGTTATACAAGAGAAGAGGATAAACAAACAGAAACAGTGAAAAAGTTAAACAGTTAAAATTCTTATGGGTGTTTACCTAAACTCTTTCCTCATTTTACTAAGCTACCTTCTCAAGTCAGAGCTCAGCTGGCCTGGTGGCCCCATTAAACACGCCCATCCAGTTGCAGACGTGAGACACAGCCTCCAGAGTCACTTGATCATGCCAAGATACCAAGAGCTGACACTGCATAGCTACAGAAGGATGCATGTCTTGCTTGACAAGAAAAAACAAGAGAGACTAGGCTGGTATGATCAACGACAACTCTGTCAAATGCTTCACAGCCCTGAAATACGTTCTTGAACCTCTCTGCAGCATTTGGATAGATAACTTGATTCTAGCAGTTGTTCTACAGCTAGGTTTGCTATTTTATCTCCCTTCACAGGCTGAGGAAGTGTGGGATTCAATTTCCCTTCAGGAAGTATTGCAAAAGGTAGCTGGACTCAGAGTAGAAACACACTTGTCTGCTTGTTACATGGTGTACTATGCCTACACCCACAAATAGGGAGATAGAAATCAAATCAGGTACGTGTGAAGAAGGCAGACAAGCTCCTCAGTTCTCAGGTTATCATCAGAGCTATCACATTATCAGCAGGTCCTCTGTGAAACCCTTGCTGGAGGACTGCTTATTGCTCTAAGTAATGCAATACTCCATAAAGGCATTTTGGCAGTAAAAAAATGCTCACAGAGCATATGCTGTTGCAGGATATAGTTTAACTTTTCTGACAGGACTCAAATTTGAGTACGTAAGACTTAATTTTTAAATGAACTAAATTCTGCAGAGCATATCAGGTCCAGTGAAAAGCACAATGCACTCTTGTAGGACTTAACTGCTGCAATATGGATCCCACTACCTCTTTTATGACAACCATTTATAAGGATTAGTTGGGGGGTGTTGGGGGGTGGGGGTGCATTACTTCTGTTCTGAGACTGGTTTTCAAGTTATTTCAGTGGAAGCATAAGTCAGAATTACATCAGAATAATTTACTTTTTTAGAAATTGAGTCTTCAAAGTTCCAGAAATTTACGAGACTGATACACTCAGAATCACAGAATCACAGAATAGTAGGGGTTGGAAGGGACCTCTGTGGGTCATCTAGTCCAACCCCCCC